CGGGTTTTCGTGGTTTACACTTCCACGTTCATCACTGAAGGAAGTGACAGCAGGAACTCACACAGGGCAGGACCCTGGAGACAGGAGCGGATGAAGAGGCCATGGAGGGTGCTGCTTACTGGCTTGTTTCACATGGCTTGTTCAGCCTGCTTTCTTATGGAACCCTGGACCACCATCCCAGAGATGGTACCTCACACAATGGGCTGGGCCCTCCCCAACTAATCACTAATTAAGAAATGCCTTACAGCTGGATCCTAAGGAGGCATTTTTCTCCGGTCAAGTTCTTTCCTTTCAGAGAAGTCTACTTTGTTTGTCCAGTTGACATAAGATGAGCCAGCACAAAGACTAAAGTAATAAATAACGTAGGAATATCTTATTCAAAAGGAGGGGCAAGGTGAAACTTCTCAAGAGGATTTCAACTCAGCCCCCATTAATGAACTACTAGGTTCATTTCGTGCATTGTAGCCCAATAGTTTCTCTGGTCTCATCCGGCCCCAAGGTTCCACAGCCGTTTATAAAATAATCATTCAGAGACTTAATATTAATTACCAATTGTGTGACCTCTGGCAGGCTTCTTGCTAGTTAGCTCTTATAACTTGACCCATTTCTATATAGTTCATAATCTATAAGTTGCCATGTAGCCATGGCTTATCGGTATTTTCACATCTTGCTTCTCCTGGCGGTACTGGTGATGCTGGCGTCTCTCTCCCCTCTGCCTTTCTTCTTCCTGTCTCTCCAGTTGAGATGTACTGCCTAACCTTATTCAGCCTCACCATTGGCCAAACAGCTTTATTTATCAACCAATCAGAGCAACACATAGTCACAGCTTACAGAAAGATATCCCACGGCAATGCATGAGTTAATGGGTTACCTCTCCTGGGTCTGCCACAAAAGCTGATGTGACTAAGCCTTTCCTGAACTCAGTGCATTCCTTTTTTTTTTAATTAGTGCACAGAGTGATGGGTATTATAATGACATTTTCATACACATTTTGTTTTGATTGATTCTCCTCCCTCACTTTTCTCTTCTGCACCATCATCTCCAGTAAAATCAAAATGAGGTAGTTACTGGAATTAGATAGGGTTCCCCTTATAGTTTGTGGTGTCATTCACTGAGTTGATAAAGCTGGGCAAGAGCAGGTGTGGATGGATAAAATGGCCCAGTCCCTTTTTAACCTTCATGTCTCACGGATTCTGTGAACCACTTCATCTGCTTCCTTACCCCCACCTGACATGGTCTTCTTTCTCATTTCAGAACCTGTACCCACGCTCACTCTAGCATACAAACACATTTACAAAAACTTGAAGTTTGAGTCCAAATATGGGCGAGAAACGTAGTATTTGCTGGAGTCTGGGATGCCTCAATAATAATTTGCAGATCATCCATTTGTCCTAAAAAATTTTATTTTCCTTTATGGCTGAATAAAATTACATGTCATAATGGGATGTATACCTCACTTTTTAACCCACTGAATTTGAATTATTTCCTTGTTATTGTGCATACAGCAGTAATAAACAAGAATCTGAAAGTAATTCTGTTATAGAATACAGATATATGCTTAGGAGTGGTAGATGACTGCTGTATTTTCATCCTTTTGATCAACCTCCCCATATCAACCTGCACCCTATTCCTTTTTGTGGCAGTGCTATGGTCTGTACCATCTCAGAACATCAGCAATAAGGCCATAAGCAGATGGCACTCATCTTGGTCCGCAATGTTCAATCCAGAAAGACAGACTGAATCAGCTAGGAAAACCCATACGGAGAAAACGGGGCTGAGGTCAGGAGTCCCTGCTTTGCATGTTAAACAACTTCAAGACAATCTGATCTGCTCTGGGCAGAACGCAGAGAGTGAGGGAGCCTGGCTTCTTCCGTGCAGAACCCACACAGAAGTAGTCTCCCTTCACCCTCTGGGCCACAAGAGAAGAACCTGGCAAGGACCCGTGTAGAGCCCCGCCCCGCCCAGGGACAGCACTAAGGGCTCTGTAGCCTCGGGGGAGGAGGAGCCTAAGGACGCTGGCGACCTGACTATACTGTCCTTCCAGCCTCTGGCACTCGACCCAGCACCTACCATTTCCAGCTTCCGGTTGTCTATGGTCCTCCTCAAAGTAACAAGGACCCAAGCAGGTTCACAGCACGGCAGAGGTTTCGTCCCTGGAGTATTTGAGCTGCATACACTGGGTAAGGATAATGGCGATCTAAAAAAGGCCCGCACCTCTGTTTAAGGCGGGGCTCCTCCTCCTACAGACGAAGGATTGGATAATTTGCACAGCTCTAGCGCTTCTCATTCGCTAATGATTCAGGACCCGCCCTCTGGACCCTGAAAGGCTGCAGAAAGGCTCCTTCAACCAGCTGGAGTCTGTGCACAAACAGATCAGAGCATCAGCACCTTAGCAAGCTATTCCGCAGGCCTTTTCACCTGGTTCATATGCGTCTTAGACTGGGAATTAGTAGAATTTAAACAGAACTGGTCCCTGACTCTCCAGAGTAGACTAGTAGTCTTTGAGTTTCCTATCTTTACTGGCCCTTTCCTCTTCTTCCTACTGGAAATGAGGTCAGAAGTCTGCTTAGGGAATTCTTTACTCCACGACTCTAAGACAATCCCTGATGTTGTGTAGCAACTTCATTTGAATTAAAATATTCTCTTCTGGAGGGAGGATCATAAGACTCAGGAAGTAAAGGAAACATACACGGCCCAGGAAAGAAATTAATCTTAGAAGTTCTAGAGCAGTCGTTCTCAACCTTCCTAATGCTGTGACCTTTGACTACAGTTCCTTATGTTGTGGTGACTGACCCCAACCATAAAATTATTTTTATTGCTACTCCATAACTGTGATTTTGCTACTGTTATGAATTGTGATGTAAACATCTTATATTTCCAATGGTCTTAAGCGACCCCACCTCAGGTTCCCAGGCTCCTTGGCTCTCAATGCCTTCACACGAAGGCATGGGCATACTATTGTTTTTGAAACGTCTATTAGGGATGGCGACATGGCTCAGCAGGTAAAGGTGCTTGCCATGAAAGTTGACCTGTGTTTGATCCCCAGAAACCAGGTAACAGTGGAAAGAGAGAACTGTCTCCACAAAAGTTGTCCTCTGATCTCCATGTGCACACTGTGGCACACATCCCACCACATACTAAATGATGTTGATGAGGTTGACAATGATGCTTTTATTTTATTTTTAATTACATGTGTCTGAGTGTAGAAATGTACTTGTAAATGCAGGTACCTGCAGAGGCAGCAGACAGCATCAGATCTGGAGCTGGAGTGACAGAAGTTGTGAGCCGTCCAACAAGGGTGCTGGAGAGGGAACTGCGGTCCTCTGCAAAAGCACTAAGTACTCTTAACTGCTGAGCCCTTTCTCCAGAACCCAATTAGAATTTCTAGACAAAAGAAGCCTTGGAGCCAGGCATGGTGGCTCCCATCTAAAATTGCAGCACTTGGGGAGGTGGGAGTTGGAGACACTAGCATCAGGAACTGGAGGCTAGCGTCAACTATGTAGCAAGTTCAAAGCTAACCTGGGCTTCTTGAGAATCTGTTGCATGCCCTACTCCTACATATACAAAATAAACACATAAACAAAACAGTAAAAAATTAAGTTTTCACACTTAGGAAAAGGATTTGGAACCTCATCAATGTACTGAGGGCAGCTGGGCGGTGGTGGTGCATGCCTTTGATCCCAGCCCTCTGGACACAGAGACAGGCAGATCTCTATGAGTTTGAGGCCTACAGTCTGGTCTACAGAGTGATTTCCAGGATAGACTCCAGTGCTACACAGAGAAAACCTGTCTTGAAAAACCGAAAAAAAAAAAAAAATGTACTGAGGGCTAGAAAGATGGTTCAGCAGTTACAGCAGTTAAAAGTACTTGCTCTTGCAAGAGACCTGAGTTTAGTTCCCAGCATACATTTCAGGTACCTCACAACCACCTGTAATTCCAGCTCCAGGGAATCTGAAACCAGAGTACTCCTTTGTCTTCTAACGGCACCTGCATACCTGCACAACTGCATACACCCCACACACACATAAATTTTAAAAATGAATCATAAAATGGATGGAAAGAGACTTACATTCATTTTGCTCACTTGCTCTTTAGCCTTGCATCATGTGAGGCTCAGTATTTGCCTCCTCCAGAACATGTGATATCATGGAGTCAGAGACAGGTCTTCCCACCAAACCCTGAACCAATAACCTTGATCTTGGAGTTTCTAGTTCAGAACTGTAACAAAAGGAAGTTTTCTGCTTTATAAATTAGCAAGTCATCATTATAGTAACAACAATGAGCCTAGAAAAGCAGATAGATAATTCTGAGTAAATGGGGGCAAGGAGTTGTTGGAAGTTTGGGGGGCTGTTTTTGATTGACAAGTCAAGGAATTAGAAAATATTGGCTGACATAGCTAGAATGTACACAGCAATCACCAGGTATGGTGTTGTGGTGGTTTGAAAGAAAATGGCTGCCATAGGCTATTAGGGAGTGTCACTATTAGGAGGTGTGGCCTTGGAGTGAGTGTGGCTTTGTTAGAGGAAGTGAGTCACTGGGGGTGTGGGCTGTGAGGTCTTAAATGCTCAAGCCATGTCTGTCTAGTATGATAGTCACTTCCTAGTTCCTGTGGATCGAGTAGAACTCTCAGCTCTTTCTCCATCCAGCACTATGTCTGCCTGCATGCTACCATGCTTCCCGCCATGAGGATAATGAACTAAACCTCTGAACTGTAAGCCAGTCCCAGTTAAATGTTTTCCTTTATAAGAGTTGTAGTCACGGTGTCTCTTCACAGGAAAAAAAAAGAAAGAAAGAAAAGAAGAGAAAGAAAAAAAAATAAAAGTAGCTAGGACAGGTGCTTCAAATCTAACAACTATCTCACTACTGAAAGCAAACAAAAAACAACAAGAGTCACAACTATACATCAGATCACAAAGCAGAAAAGGAGACTAAAAATTCACAAGAAAATACTCTTATGAGTAACATACAAATAGAAGCCACTTGTAATTATCTTAGCATGCAAAATCAATAAGCATTATGCCACAATGAAAAGGAGTAAGTTTTTTCCCATTAGAAACAAAGATAGAACCATGAAAAATATGTGACACCCAAAACCTACCGTTGAGGCCAGGAACCAAATTTCAACAAACAGCAAAGTTTTCATTTTAATCAAAGAACAATTTTGAAAACACACATTAAGTTAGCTGCCTATTTGAATCACATTTCATGAACCCATGAATCTAACTCACTTAAATGAAATGAAAACTGGTTGCTGTAATGACAGGAGACAGAATCAGAGGTGTCATGTGACAGAGGTGTTATTTCCTCGGTAGATGCAACACACATGCCTACTTCTACTGTGACAGGGAGCACAGAAAGTACGGATACCACTGAAGTCCTACTTGGTGAACCAACTGTTTAATTGGGGTTGCTTACTGAAGTACAGGTGTGGGTTACTAGCCAGAAATGACTCAAAGACAGCTGCATAACCAAAGATCACCCCAGCATGGGTGAGGCTCACAAAAACTGGAAACCTGGGGCACACTGTACAGCCTGCAGGCAACTTAACAGGTTGGACAAGATCTATTCTTTCCAAGTGCCTCTTCCAGGCAGCTCCATTGGTTGCTGCTTCTTCCAGGTGGCTGGCTGTTCTGGTCTCACAGTCTCCATTTTGGCTTGTCTGAGAGTGATTCTGAGCAGGTTTATTGTTTACTCTTGGAAGCTGGGGCCTAGTGAATCTGATCTTTTTCATGGACTCTCTGAAGTTATTTGAGAGGTTCATCATCTGGTTTAAGGAGCTGCCCTGCAGGAGAGAATGTTTCCATCTAGGAAGAAACTGCTGCGAAACAATGAGAAAATGGTCAGTTTGTTGCCACCTAGGCCACAAAGAAAGCACCAGGCTACCAGCTTCAGCTTCATAGAAAGACTCCTTTGAACAAAACAAAACAAAATGGCTAGGTGTCTTGGCACAAGCCTGTAATTCCAGTCAGTGGATGGGAAAGCAGTGAATCAGGACTTGAAGTTCCTCCACAGTTTGAGTCCAGGCCAGGCTGTAAAAGACCCTGCTTCAAAACAAACACAACAAAATAAAAAAGGACAAGAACAGTTTTACCCTAAAGCTACTCAGTAGCTGGGCATGAAGTTGGGTATTTGTAGTCCCAGTAACATTGGAGGCAGAGACAGGAAGATCAACAAAACCAGGGAATTCCCATGCAGCATCAGCATCATAACATTTCTCTCTAGGGCCTGGTTAAATGGCTCTGCGGTTACGTGGCCCAAGATGCTCCAGTGATCTCTACACACTCTAGGAGATGCAGGTTTCAGGTGTGGGGTTGCCAAGAGGCCAGCAGGCTGGGTCTAAAACAGATGTGCAGTGGGACAGATTTGAAGAGCTGTAGGCCAGATATCACCATAAAGCTACACACCCCAGGGCAGTAAGGGCTGTCCGCATACTGCCCACAGCCAATTCCAGCCAGATTCTACTTCTCTGGTAGCCTGATCCCACACAATCATTTCCCAGCCTTTGAGTCTCTGGGCATCCTTCCTACTCAGCCCACAATCAGTGGATGTCACAGACTGTAAATGTTACACCTCTGAGGGGAAAGGCTTCCCCAGTGGAAGCATTGCTGGTCTGAGGGGGCAAGGTATCCTGGCAGTCAAGGAATGCCAGAAAGTCATGTAACACAGCAAACCTCACGTGAGATTTATTGAAGAAACACCAGAGAGTGGCTGCCTCTGCTGGAGTAAGAAGATGCAAGGAAATTGAGCAGGAGACAGGCTTATAGGAGGTTTCTTGGGGGCAGAGATTTCCAGGGTAGAGATTTCCAGGGTGAGAATTGGTGGGATTTCAATTTCAACAGGGCCTTGGGGCAAGCCCAGGGATTGATGGGATTTTGAGCTCAGGGATTGGTGGGTTTTGATGGGCTTTCAAACCCAGAAGTGAGCTCGAACCTTTTACTCTACACAGACTAACTGACACACAGGCGACAAGGAACCAGACCCCTAGAACACCACCCACAAGTTGTAAAACTTACGCTCCTTCTCCTCACTTTCACCTTGATTGGATGCCTTGTTCAGCCTTTATGCTCTGATTGGCTGTAGACTTTGGGGCCACACTCTCCAGGTGGCAGGACACCTAAGCTGGGAAGGAGGAGAGAACTTTGGGAACCATCGCAGCTGCTCCTAGTGTAAGGGCGACCTACACTCAAACTCACCAGTACCAGCACCCGTTCCTTAGCTCCTTGAGCCTGACAGGACACAAAGATCTGCTGAGCAGTCCAGAACCTCTGTACGATGGCACCAAAAAGGAGTGCTTCTGATTGGTTTAGAAGGCTTCTATGGAGCCTCCTGAAAGCCCAGTTCTCTGGGACCAGGGCCTCAGTAGCCTGGAACCAGAAAAGCATCTCACTGACTAAGCTTTTCTTACACAAAAAGAAAGCCAGGCACTATGGAGGCAGAGGCAGGTAGATCTCTGTGAGTTCCAGGCCAGCCTGGTCTATAAAGAGAGTTCCAGCACGGCCAAGGCAGTTACACAGAGAAACCTATCTCAAAAGAAAACCTAAAATAAATAAATTAATTTAAGAAAGAAAAGAAAAGCTCTTTCTTAACTGCCTGAGTACTACTGAAATGAAATTCCAGACACAGTCCTTCATAACACTACTTGCTCCTGTACCTGGCCAGAAGTGGGGATGGTTATAAATGGGGATAGTTTTTCCAGTGCAAGGGTAGCTTAGCAGTCCAGAGCCAATGAATACCACAAAGTCACACCATGTAACAAACCTCACACAAGGGATTTATGGGGGTGGGGAGTGGGGGGTGGGCATGGTGGCTGCCTCTGACCATGAAGAAAGACAGCAGAAGGCTCGATGGAAGGGAAGGCTTTTATGTGTTTTTTGTTTTTTGTTTTGAGCATGTGCAATGAGCTTGGTGGGAATGTATGGAAGGATAGGAAACACTGTTTGGCCATTAATGTTGAGTTAAGTGGTGGATGGTGGTCATAAATCTTGGGGGGAGGGGCAGGCGGCCCAGGGTCAAACCAGAGATAGGATCTTTTTCCTTTGACCTCTATCTTGGGCTTGGGGTCCTGGACCTGGCACTGGGGTCAAGTCAGGGTCAGAGTGTTATTCCTTGGACCTGGCATTGGGGTCAAGTCAGGGTCAGGGTGTTCTGGTGTTCTTTCCTTGGCCCTGGTCTTAGGGTCAAGTCAGGGTCAGTGTGTTCTTTCCCTGAACCTTTTACCCTACAATGGTGTGTGGGGTGAGGGGTGGTATATACTGCCTCACCTCACCCAAGCTGGACTCTAATTATCTGGTACAGGATAGCCTTCAACTTCTGACCCTCCTGCATCCACCTCCCAAGTGCTAGAATAACAGTTGTGTATCACAATGCCCAGTATATATTAGGGATCAAATTCAGTTCTTGAATGCTAGGCAAGCACTCTACCAACTGGGCTACATCTCAAGCTCTCCTGGGTTCCCCTTTTTTGAACATCTGAAACAGGTCTGGTTATGTACCCAAGGTTGGCCTAAAACTCACTCTGTCTTTAAACTCATGGCACTTCTCTAGTAGAAGTCTCCTGACTATTAGGATTACAGGCTGCTTGATATAATGATGTCTTTCTTTTTCTTCTATTATTTTCTTTCTTTCTTTTTATTTTTGGTAGGATTTTGTGAATCTCAGATTGGTTTTAAACTGTAGGCAAGGGTTGCCTTGAACTTCTGATGCACCTGCCTCTACCTCCCCCCATTTACAGCTAGGCATCACTGTATTAGTCAGGGTTCTCTAGAAGAACAGAACCATTGGGAAGACGTGTGTGTGTGTGTGTGTGTGTTATAAGAATTTATTAAGCAACTAAGGTTGAAGTGGCTACAATAGGTGAGTCATACCTGACAGGCTAGGAACCCAGTAGTTCCTCTGTCCTTGAGGCTGAATGCCTCTGAGTGTGTCAGAGTAGTGCCATGGTAGCTGTCTCTTCCTGGAAAGGCTGACAGTCTAGTGGCTGACAACTCAGCCCACAAGCCTGGGTGCCTCCATAGCTGGTGAGCTGCTGGTCCTTAGTTCCAATGGAAACCATGGTTCTGCTATCAGTGAAAGAATCAGCAGCAACAGTATAAATCTGATCAACATCAAAAGAAAAGGCCAGGTGAGCTGGGAATAATCTTCCTTTTGACACCTTTTTTCCCCTGGACTGCTACCAGAAAATGCGGTCCATAGCCAGATTAGGTCTTCCCATATCAGTAAAGGCAATCAGGACAGTTCTTCAATTGAGGATCCCAACTCAGTGATTCTAATTTGTGTTAAAATGACATTAAAATCAGCTATAATAATCTATCCCTTATCAACTTGACACATAAATTCATCACTAAAAAACCATAGCCTTAGCCAGACAGTGGTGGTGTATACCTTTAGTCCCAACACTCAGGAAGCAGAGGCAGGTGGATCTCTGTGAGTTCTGGGCAAGCCTGGTCTACAGAGTGAGCCAGGGCTGTTATACAGAAAAAAAAAAAAAACTGCCTTGAAAAACCAAACAAACACAATTAAATAAATCGTTAGTAAATAAATAAGTTTTAAAGGTAATAAAAATAAATCTTAAAAACTATAACCCTGTCTCCTAAGTCTCATGATTATTTTGTAATGTAAAAATATAATCTACTTTTAAAAGTCCCCAAATCCTTAAGAATCCTACTGCTTTAAATTTCTCAAATCTTGGGGATAGAAATTGAAGAACACTAGTTGCTCTTACAGAGGACCTGGGTTTGATTCCAAATACATAGATGACTATTAACAATCATCTGTAACTCCTGTCCTATGGGACTTGGGGTCCTCTTTGGCCTCTAAGGCACTGAATGCCAGTGATAAGAAAATATACTCATAGGAAAAACACTCATACATATAAAATAAAACAGGAAAAATAATTAAGGAATTCTAATTTATTTATTTTTATTTTATGTGATTGGTGTTTTGCCATGGGTATCAGGTCCTGTGGAACTGGAGTTACAGACAGTTGTGAGCTGCCATGTGAGTGCTGGAAATTGAACCCGGGTCCTCTGGAAGAACAATCAGTGCTCTTAACCACTGAGCCAGCTTTTCAGCCCCAAGAAGTCTGGTTTTGTTTTTTGTTGTTGTTATTATTTGTTTTTTTGTTTTTGTATTTGTTTTGTTTTGTTTTGGAGACAGGGTTTCTCCGTGTAGCCCAGGCTGTTCTAGAACTTGCTATGTAGACCAGGCTGGCTTCAAATTCACAGAGATCTGCCTGCCTCTGCCTCTCAATTGCTGAGATTAAAGGCCTGTGTCACCAAACCCAGCTACGGAAACATTTTTCAAAATAATTAAATTGGGCATAGAGAGATTGTTCAGTGGTTAAGAACACTTGCTGATATTGCAGAGGACCGGGGTTCAGTCCCCAGCATGCTACTGCATATAGATGGTGCTCTAGATGTATGCAGGCAAACACTTATACACATAAATAAAAATAATAAATTAATCCTGTTAAAAATAAATAATAATCTCAACTCTCTTAACTGTAAACTCATATCAATACAAAATATGTTCTATACTTCTGTTTCAAAAGTGAAGTACCAAGGCACAATTATAAACAAATCAAAGCAAAACCATGAGAAACAGTGTCAATAACTTGTTGTCTGACATCTTGGACTCACTTATGATCTTCTGGGTTCCAAACGGCTTAGGCAGCTCCACTTGCCCAGCTCTGCCATCCACAGCACACTCAATTTGTCTTGTTAGCCCAAGTCACCTTCACTCCATTCCTGCTGCTGCCCTTGGTGATCCTGTCTCAATTCAGGCACCTCCAATATGCTGGGGTTTCCACTGCAACCAAGGCTGCACCTTCACCATTGGCCTTCTGGCATCTCTTTAGGGACTCTACATAGTGTTAAGCCTCTGACCCTCTCCATCACCCCTTCAGTCCTGGGGTCTCCACTACAAGGCTACCTTCACCAATGGCCTCTACTACCCTTTCATCTTTCACAGACCCCCCCCCCCAGGACCACAGATTCTGTTCTCTGACCCCAAAGAAACTCTTCCCAGAATATTTCACTTCAGTGATGTTGGTCTCTATTAACTGCAGCTGATTTGTCAACGTCAGCTAACCAGCATCATCTGTCTAGTAAAGCAAAAGTTTCATTTTAGTGGTACTGGTCTCTTGTTAGTCACTGATTCTTCAGCCCAGATGACCAGAAACCACAGACTATCAGTTCAAAATATCACATGGACTGCCCTGGTGGTTGCTGCTTCCCTCTGGAACTTCACAAGCCAAGCCTCAACTGTCTGCATTTCTCTCAATACTCTTGCCTTCCAAGTTCCCATGGAGCAGCGAATTAAGTTTTGAGTACTCGACAGCTTTTCCAGCCTCAAACCTTTCCGGACCCCACCCTAACCCCCAACAATGTAGTCAAGTCTGTCACCGCATATTAGCATGCCAAAGCACACCCTGCCCTCTAGGTTCATTCTCTAGGCTCCTTTCTATTCTTCTCACCACCCACCCCCC